ATAATTAAATATATAGTAGGTTATATTATTTACAGCTTATAAATAAAATGACCATTTTGCTAACCACAGGTGTCTTTTTATTGGAAGGAGTCATCTTCAAGATATGATCGGATCCTAATTGTAGGCTACTCTCCTAATAGAGATTTATTAATTTATTTCTTTAGACTCAATTCTTGTTAGTGATGATAATTAGGTTTTTTTTTTAAAACCCATCGGGTAAGTTCTTTACTGAAGTGTCAGTTCGGAGGCCCAATAGCAAACTATGGGCTAGAACTAACTTGAGGCGATATCAAAGGTTGTCTTTAGCGCGTTTGGAGGAAACTAGGCCCACATACGAATTCCTGGGCTCATTAGAATTGGATAATCAGCTTTTGGTGCCCAATGTAGTATTTTGACATTAGAATTTTTTTTTATAACTTAAAATATCTTCAAATTACTTTACGTTTGAAACTAATTTCTGTCAAACTGAAAATACTAAAAATTAAAATATTCTTAATAAGTGTGCTTTTCAAATTTTGAACTCGTGTTCTTTTTCTTACGAGGTAAGACTGTTTACTATTTTAACTAACCATTTGTGTTGATTTTGGAAAGTATTTTAATTGAAGTCTTTTCTCGTTATATAAAAGGGCAAAAATTGAAATCTTTTGACTTTGGAAACAATAAACAAGTAGTTGAAGTGATAAGAGCGTGATTGTACTGAAATAGATGTCCAGATTAGATTTGATTAGAAAAATTCTATCTTAGAATCTATCAAGATTCAAATTACTTATATACTTCTCCGGTCTTAAATATAACCCTTTTAACTAATTTGATTAGATTAAGGAAGTTAGGTAAGTTAGTTAAGTATAAGAAAAGTGACACATTTTTCCTAAAACACCATAATCATCTTTCTTAATACCCCCTCTCCTTCTTCTATTTGATCATGGTTGAGGGAGTATTCGTAGGGGTAATTTAGGTAAGAAAATTGATAAATATGAGAAATGGGTCTTATATTAGGACGAAAACTAACTTAAGAATTGGGTCTTATATTAAGGACCGGAGGAGTAATATAATTTTCTCAATTATAATGGATGTGTAATGAGCTTGTGTCAAAGAAATATTACTTGTGTATCCAATTTAATTTCTAAATAGGAAAAATTCCAACTACATGTCTTTTTTTTTTAATAACAAATCACTACTTCCAGTCATAATTATAAAAACTAGTTGACTAATTTGAGAAGATTAAGGAAAGAAGTTAAGTTAGTTATTTGTTATAAATAGGTGTTGTGTATTGGTTAGAACTACTATTGTTAGAAGGATTATCTTAAAAAATGCATAAATATTAGAGACAAAGTGGATTGAGGTTTTATATTTATTACCAAATAAAAATCAAACGAGGTCCTATATTAAGGACCAGCGGTAATATTTAATATTTATTACGATCAACTAATATCGATTCGAGTTAATGAGTTGACTTCTAGATGGAGGAAAGCTCATCCGGCATGATTTTTTTCCCCTCCTGTTAAGGTTTGATGTTATTATGTTAATGACATCAATTTCAATTATTTGAAAAGAAAAAAACTTTTAACTCCACGCACATGATCAAATAATAAAGTCAACGATATGGGAAATATCTAATGAGATATTGACTTTTAAAAGCTCCGACACTGAAAAAAGGTTCAAAACAGCTAATAGCAAAATGCTTAAGTGGGAGCTGAGTTCAGGAAAGCGAAAGCAATCTTTGTCAGTATTTGAACTCTTCAATATTTAATTTATCAAAGTAAAGAAAGAACGAAGAACAAAAGTTATAAGTGTTTTTTTTAGGGAAAATCCCATATAAATACCTATTGAATTCTAAAATCCCAAATAAGTCACTCTAATTTCACAAAAGACAATAAGCCTACAGGTATTAAATCGGAATTTGCAAAGTTTGACAAATTACCTCAATGCCCTTTTCTCATTTCCTTATCTTCTCTCTCTTCGTCGTCTTTTTAAGGCAGAGACACAGCTTGTATGGGAAATTACTTTATGTCGTGGGCTATCATTCTTTCAATGGGTTTGTTAGACATTGGAGACGCAATTGAAATATTTAGGATAGAGAAGAGAGATCGCCATTGATTTTCGGAGCACACCATTCTACAACGGATCCCTTCTTCAAATAGCGGCCATTGCAAAACTTTGTTGCTTATATTTATGAATCAAAAGAGCCATGGGAACCAAAATATAACAACTATAAGTCATCTTCTTTAGAGAGAGAGAGAAGACGCGGCTAGATCTTCTTTTTCCTCAGTCATGGTAGCACTAAATATAGTTACTGTCATAGAACAGTCTGGTTTTTGGTAAATGTCATTAGTGCAGTTGTCAAAACCCATTATAATGTTGTCAATCATATTATTTGTAATAGATTGACTTTTGTAGTCTTAATGACAAGAAAATATTATAAATATTAGTTTAATCTTAATGCTACCTTGTCATTTGAATATAGTTAATGTAACTTCTGTCATAGGTTGTTGTTTTTTCGTAAATATTGTCATTTTAGTGGTCAATTCCATTACACATGTAGTAATTATGAAAGTTATTGATATTATGTTTATTATGATATTTTTCTAGTGTACTTGTATACTACCTTGTCAATACATTTTGACCCTCATTTAATTCCCCCAAAGGCTAGATTTAAAATGGGTTGCAAAAATTGCTATGCGTGTAGTAATTTTCATTACGAAAAGTTATCATTCCCATTACATCTTTAATAAAGTTGCCTGCAAATGAACTAAAATTGGATTGCAAATAATCAAATTACAAGTTGCTTGATGGAAATGATAACTTGCATTATGCAAGTTGTCATTTTCGTTTACTTGTTTGTAAAATAATATGTAAATGACTTAAAACAGGTCGCACAAAAGCATTATGAGACTTGTAACTTGATTATTTGCAATCCAATTTTAGTTCATTTGCAGGCAACTTTATTAAAGATGTAATGGGAATGATAACTTGCGTAATGAAAATTACTACACGCATAGCAATTTTTGCAACCCGTTTTAAATCTAGCCTTGGGGGAATTAAACGAGGGTCAAAATGTATTAATAAGGTAGTATACAAGTACACTAGTAAAACATCATAAAACATAATATCAATAACTTTCATAATTTATTACATGTGTAATGGAATTGACTACTAAAATGACAATATTTATGAAAAAAAACAACAAGCCTATGACAGAAGTTACATAAATATATTCAAATGACAAGGTAGCATTAATATTAAACTAATATTTATAATATTTTCTTGTCATTAAGACTACAAAAGTCAATCTATTACAAAATAATATGATTGACAACATTTATAATGGGTTTGACAACTGCACTAATGACATTTACCAAAAACCAGACTGTTCTATGACAATAACTATATTTAGTGCTACCATGACTGAAGAAAAAGAAGATCTAGCTGCATCTTCTCTCTCAAACTAGTTGACTAATTTGAGAAGATTAGGAAGGAAAGAAGTTAAGTTAGTTATTTGTTATAAATAGGGTTGTGTATTGGTTAGAATTACTATTGTTAGAAGGATTATCTAAAAAAATGCATAAATATTAGAGACAAAGTGGATTGAGGTTTTATATTTATTACCAAATAAAAATCAAACGAGGTCCTATATTAAGGACCAGCGGTAATATTTATATTTATTACGGATCAACTAATATCGATTCGAGTTAATGAGTTGACTTCTAGATGGAGGAAAGCTATCCGGCATGATTTTTCCCCTCCTGTTAAGGTTTGATGTTATTATGTTAATGACATCAATTTCAATTATTTGAAAAGAAAAAAACTTTAACTCCACGCACATGATCAAATAATAAAGTCAACGATATGGGAAATATCTAATGAGATATTGACTTTTAAAAGCTCCGACACTGAAAAAGGTTCAAACAGCTAATAGCAAAATGCTTAAGTGGGAGCTGAGTTCAGGAAAGCGAAAGCAATATCTTTGTCAGTATTTGACTCTTCAATATTTAATTTATCAACGAAGTAAAGAAAGAACGAAGAACAAAAGTTATAAGTGTTTTTTTTAACATAAGAATTTAAATTTAATTTTGAATCCAATAATAATCATGTAAGTATATATATAAAGTATATTATTGAATTAATAGCAAAAATTGCGATAAAAATCATTTCATAATTCACAATATAAAGCTATAATTACGAAGAGTCCAATAGATCATGATCAGCCGACAAGTTTTTAGGCATATGCATATATGTCCAAAACCTTCCCTTGTTTCACGAAAACAAATATGCTAGCTGCAAAAGAAATGCCAAAGTAGGGCTAACATATGTGTGTGTGTATATATATATATATGAGTTACGTCTGTCGCTTGAAATATTACCTCCGGTCATAAATATAAAGTTAGTTGACTAATTTAAAAAGATTAAAGAAATAAATTAAGTTAGCTATTTTTAATAGATAGATGTTATTTTTCCTAAAAATATTCCTACCAATTAATTGTATTGGATAGAATTATCATTATTAGAAGGATTATTTAAAAAAAAACATAAATATGAGAGACAAAATGAATGGAGTCTTATAATTAAAATCAAAATGAAAAGCAAGAGCTTATATTAAGAACTTTGCAGAGAATATTATAGATAACAATAGAAGTGGGAAGCTAAGCCGCAAGGATAATGAGGACGCGTTTAGATTTGGGAGTGGGACGAGACAATAAGTGACATTTGAATAACCGTCAGAGGCACAGATAAGAGACACGTAGCTTGTTGCCACCAAGATAGTGGGAAAGCCATGTGCCCCTCCACGTACTCTTCCTGGCTACGTGGCGCGCACCCAGATCCCCCACATTAAAAATCCCAACACACGTTTCTTAAAAAACATATCCTCTCAGTGTTACATGCGACGAAGCTACGAGAGGGCACGCCCTCGTATCAACCTATGTGCATATATACACACACGATTGGTTCCAGACCAGAGTGTGCTCAATACAATAACCTTAGCAATTAATAAAGGAGAAGGAATGGGTGGGTTCATGGAGGCCCTGGCGGTGGGGAAGGTCATCGGAGACGTCGTGGAGCCGTTTGTGACGGAGGCCAAGCTGACGGTGCAGTATGGATCGAAGCAGGTGGCTAATGGCCGTGAGATCAAACCCTCTCTGGCTGCCGACAAACCCCATGTTCGAGTGCTTGCTCCTTCTAACAATGCTGCCAACCTATACACTCTGGTTAGTATGCCATTATATACTTATCTTTAATTAAGGATTCAAACTCACAACCTTACCCTTGATAGGTAATGGTGGACCCTGATGCTCCAAGTCCAAGCGAGCCAACCTTCAGAGAGTGGCTCCATTGGTATATATCATTTACATTCCCTCTCTCTCTCTCTCTCTCACACACACATATCTTATTTTGGCATGGTTAATTGGGTACTAAAAAGAATATATATGGTGTTGCAGGATTGTTGTAGATATCCCAGAGGGTTCTGATGCCACCCAAGGTAATTATATATTAAGTGAGACTCAGATGGTTCCTATTCATTCATTTCTTATTTTTATTAAACCAATATGATATAAAAAGAGTGATCTATTTGAAACTATGATATTATCAAGTAGTTTTTGAAATATGTTGATGAGATCAGCTTATGTACATAATGCAGGGAAAGAAGTGGTGAGTTACATGGGGCCAAACCCACGGACAGGGATACATAGGTACGTGTTCGTGGCGTTCAAGCAAAGAGAGGGATCGCTGGCTGGCGTGGAGGCGTGTTTGCCGGAAGAGCGTGCCAATTTCAATACGCGCAATTTTGCATCCAAACACGCCCTTGCTCTCCCCGTCGCCGTCGTTTACTTCAATTCCCAAAGGCAACCGGCCAAGTCCCGCAGGAGCACCCGTTAAACCATTTTCTTTAATCCTGGCCATTCCCTGGTTTAACGGCTGTTTGGGATGGTTTGATTAATTGAATGGTCAGGATTAAATTGGTGGTTTGGATCTCCTATCAGGACCCCATCTTCGATGAATCAACGGCTCAGCTCTCGGGAGTACAGAGGCAGCATACCTCTTAGTGGCAGACACTTAGGTTCCCTCAATACCTTACATTCCTACCATTTTTAATTATTCTGATTCCAGTTGTGATTTTTTGCCTTTTAATTTTTGTGTGGAATTATGTAGTATATATTCCGACAAAAATAATATAGAAAATAAGTCGTCCGATATTTATGAGGTGCTGGCAGCTTTGCAAAAGGGTGAATAGGAGTATAGGACCCTTTTAATCCGTTGATCAAATTAAGGAATCTATTTCCAAAACGATGAGAAATTATGTGTTCGTAATTAAATATAATGCACGTGATAATTTGAGAAAGTAACTTCTCATAGAATAATTTTGACTTCTTTATTCAACTGAACCAAATCAGTCCGTAAAATTATATTTCATATTATATTTTCATTTTTTAAAAAAATCGATGCAATGTTTTTTTTTTTTTACATGACCATCTAACTGAGTTATATTTAAACATTATCAAGTCTAATTGGGAGTGATTCTCTAAAAACATTTTCTATATTCACACAACTCAAATAATTTATATAAGACATCATATTTAAGTGATCAAAACTTTTTAATTATCTTGGATCAACATCAGAAAAATCAAGACAATGAATTAACTTTGGGGACCCATTGGTAGCCTAATTCCCACGCAACCAACATGTTGGATAGTGGTCCTCATCTCTATCTATTCAATGACTCTTCCCCGGATGATGGGTACTACTAATGCAAGCATGCCCAATCAATTGCTTTAATTTAATTTCTTACCTACTATACTCTATCCCGCAAAAATAATTTATTTTCTGATTTCTGTTACTTCTGATACTAAATATGAGGTAATCTTATCATAACCACTTCACTTAAATCAAAGAGATGCTGTCAAGTTATTATTTAAAATGGTCTTAAAATTAATTCTCTAAAAAAAAAAAAAAACAGTGGTAAACAATAGTGCTCCTCCGGTTTTGAGATAAGACCTAGTATTTTATATATAATTTTTACTACAAAATAGGTTTTATATTTAAAACTAAAAGAGTATTTATTGAAGGACTTAACTCACGAAAGGGAATTAGTTTGGGTGTTTATTGCTTTGGTGAGCATTATAAAACTTATTAAATCTGGAATATCTGGATTTGATTTGGACAGTTCAAATCTAATTTTTTTTCATTTAAAATAATTATTTTAATGACTATAAAATCTAAAATAAAGAGTTCCATGAAAGGGTGATCACTTGATCACTAAAAAAAAATCATACTGTTTATATTAATAATTAATAATGATATCACTTTTTTCCCGATAAATAGCTAATTTGGACAAGAAAAAGTAACCATAATAACAACATACATCGTTGATTTTTCCCCCCTTCGAAATTCCTTACAGGGTCATCGTTGAGTGGTGGGGTAAAAGGCAAGGCAGCAATCTCCTCACAATCTCATAATCAATGAAACAAAAGCCTAATACGTCCAACAAATAGACACCTATATGGATGTATATTTAACTTCTCATTTCTTTTTAAATTAATTTAACGAAAAAAGAAATATTTTTAATTCAAAACATAAATAACATCAAGATAGCTGATCACCCCTAGGAGCACTCTCATCATGCAAGCAAAACTACGAAAACAAAAAAAACAAAATAGCGGTCAGGATAAGTTGGTATCACACGCCCCGGCCCAAAAGAATTAAAACAAAAAAAAAACTTTGCATCTTACGTCTGAATATATACTTCATAGAAAGGATTTTTTTTTTTTTTCATTTGGGTAATAAATAGGATGCGTTTTTATGTTTTGTTTTATTATTTTTTACTTTTGAAAGTATAGCGTATAATAAAAAGTGACCTTTTTTTTTTTATGAAATAAAAGAACGTGACCTTTGAGAGAATTCTATATGAATATACTTGTTCTTCTTTTTTTTTAACAAGGAATATACTTGTTCTTACTCCTTAAAGTTAATTGCATAATTTATTTCTTTTACCTCTAATATTTATGTACAAGCACATATATAATTATACACAAGGTAGAAATAATATAAATAGATATTAAAATTATCGTTATGGTGGAATATGGCATAAGACTAATTATTATTATATTAAATTTAAAATTTTATTATTAGGATATGATTTAGATGATGATTTTAAGATTATTTTGATTTATTGTTGTTTTATTATTTTAAGACTCTGATTAGAATTAGTATTTTATCATTATTAATTTCTTTTATAAGCAGTATTGGGGCTGTCGGTTAAATATTGAATGAGATTACAATTATTTTTTCTTCTGAATTTTTTCTTATCTGTTCTCTATTTTCTCTAATATCTTTCCTTTTCATCTCTCTGATCTCTTTCTTTCCTTTCTTCTCATTTTACATCACATCATCATCATCATCATCATCATCATTATTATGAGCAATTCCAAAAGTCTTTTGAAATATAATAATTAATAAAAATACTCAAGAATTTTAAATTAAAATTTATGTTTTTGGTTGATAACAAAATAGTAGTAAGAAAATTTAAGATAAACACATTTAGTTTTAAAACCTAACATTTATCCTAACTGAAAAAATTATAAATATTTTGGTTAAAAATTGGAAATAATTTGTTTTGCTTAAAATCTTAGATTTTAATTTTTGATCTACAAGCGAAAAAATGAAAATTTATTTTCAGATTTTATATTAGATTTTCCTAACCCTCCTAGGGTTTGGGTAATGTTTCGGCCCTCCCGAATCGCGCCAAGTCGAAAATGTTCCACGTCGCCTCGGGTCGTTAGACGTAGCTTCTTGTGAACCCTCCGACTCCCAGATTTTCGCGTGCCTTTCTCTGACCGCCATTGCCATCACTGATTTCTTCCCGGATTCAACCATTTGTTTTTTACGTTCCCATTCCAGCCACCGACGCCTCCTTCGTCTTCTCGCCGGCTCTCTTCTCGCCGTCTCGGCCCCGCATCATCTCTGAATAGCATGCTCTCCTCCTCCACAGGTTCTCATCTCTCTTTGCTTTGTCTATTTTCCTTTTGTTTATTTGGAATTCAGCTTCTTTTCGGGCTGCGGGCTTTGGTCTTTTCTCTATTTTCCGTTGCAGCCCCCTTATGTCTAGCGAATAATTTCTTTGATTAGTTGAATACACTGTTTTATTTGATAAAAGGAAGAGCTTTTATCGAGGTTCTATGGGGGGAACAATTAAGCTAGAAGTGGGAGGAAGACCCGAGATCTTTGAAGGGAAAGTGCATTTTGTAGAAACCGTGAATTAATGGATTTATTTCAAATGCTTTTCCGTTTTGTGGCCATTCGGAAGAGTTATGGTGTCCATTAGCAGTGTGAGAAATTTGGCTACCGTCTTTTACAAAATCAACTGGATTTGGCCTTCTCAAATGTGCGGCTAAATCCTTCAGTGGTACATGTTCTGAGTCATGAAAAGTTTGGTCTCTGGCTTTCCTTCTGGTGCCAATACCTTTTTTGCCTCCAATTATTGTTAGCTTCCATCTCTCTCTCAATGTCAAGATTTAAAATTTCCTAACTTATTTCTGTAATGACGTAACAAGAGGTTCGGAGTCGACCTGCTCTTAATTCTTCCGATTCCCTGTATGCTAATGGCTAACTTTTACTGCTTGCAAAGGCATATGGGATAAAAGCATGCTTACTTTCTAACTTATACCAAAACCTAATAGTGACTGCAGTGGTAATGAAATCATTTCTTACTCGGGGGGCATAACTACCTGTGCTGGTGGGTGATTGCCTCTGGACTAGTAACTTAAGTTAATGGTGCCGCACGTAAATTTTGTTTTCTATGACTTTGACTAGTTATTGTTGTCTAAAGCTGTTAATTTTTGTCAATCTCTTATGCTTTACTCTCAGCATAGCTTGATTATTTAAGGTGTCTATTCCAAGCACATGGTCCATATTGTGCTCATTCGGGTTTTTGTGACTGCTTGAATCACGGTGACCCCACAATGCCTAGTTAAAAAATGAATTATTTAAGAAACGCAACTTCACCATACCTCAAATATCTGTCCTCATTAGTTCCCCATATAGCTGATGAGGACCATGATGGCTTAATGTATGTTACGCCAGAAGGAGGTAAAACTGGGACGAGAAGAAAGTTATTAAAATTCCCATTGGTAATAACAAAAAATGGATGGACACTGTGAACCAGGAAAGCCATAAAATGAAATGTATGGAATGGTCGCAATCAGCTGTTTTTGGTTGTATGAAATGAATGTTATAGGGAATTGTTTTCCCCCCTTTTACGTCAACAATCCTAATCATAAAGGTTAAAGTTATAGTCCCCCCCCCCCGGATAACTCATAATACGCTTGCTCCTAGTTCAGCTCATTGACAATAATTGGTTAGAAACGGAAATTTTAGAATGGATGGATTTTGCTGGAAGTTAGGGACAATAATGAATTGATGTCATGTTTCATGATGCCATGAACAGATTCTAACATTGTTGTGGGCGACATTATTTTGGGTTTGCAGGTTTTTGATGCTTGGATATATAAGGATTGTTCGTCAATCTATTCTTAGGAACTGTAGGAGCAGGCATACAGAAGGAGGTAGATATGGGGCAATAGCCTCAGTTGGACCAAATATCCGCCAATGTAGGTTGTACGTGCAATATAAGTTCCCTAGTGAAGCTCGCTATTCATTCTTTCATGGGACAAAAGAGAACTCTTGCTGGCACTTTTTTCTAGGAACTTCACTGCAGTTTCAGCAAGTAATATAGTGACGAAACATTCCCAAAATGCTTGGAGAAGGCTACATGGAAAGTATTCTTCCAATGGTTACCGCACTCTTCCCTCCGTAGATGTCATTGCCCAAGCAGTCAGCTTGGCTTTGGTCCGTTCTTATTTGGTGGTTCCTGGTATTTTTGCTTTTGTATGTGGAGAGCTCGCATGGACTCATCAAC